AGCACTGTGAGGACCTGCGGGTGGCCACATGGCTAAGCTGGCCCCAGTAGTCTGTGAGCCCCGTACAGGCTAGCAGCCTCCAGATGTCTCGCCCAGAGATTGCCTTCTTGTGAGATCATCCTTACTTAAAGGAATGCTATCTGCAAACACACCCACCCTGCACACTCCATGCCCAGCTCCCAGCACTTGCCCCTCCACATGCTCCTGGCTAGAGTTCAGACTGCGCCTTGCTCACCTGCCCTGTGCCCATCCCAAATCCCCCTGTAGAACCCCCACCTAGCTCCCCCAGGTGAGACCACAGCACTTTGGGGATTGTGGTGAAACCTGCCCCTGCCTAGCTGGGTCTCCAAAGTTGGGCCTGAGTGACAGGTGTGCAATGTGGCAGGGTTAGGGGAGGCCCCCATGATTCAGACAGGAGCAGGGGCACCCCTGGGGTGGAGGACTTCACTGAATCTTTACAGATTTAACACACTGAATCCTCACAAACACCCTGGAGAACAGATGCCATGATTACGCCCATTTCAAACAGTGGGCCTAAGTTCCCAGGCCAGGCCATATAGCCGATACGAACCAGGCTTCCCAGAGTGTCTGGTCCTGCACCCTAGCCTGTCTTCAAGCTTGAGTCTCCAGCTAGCCACTTAACTCATTGCTGGAGACAGAGTGCAGCCTGAGCCCTGACCTCCAGCCTCCTGGCACAAGTGACCCCAGCTTCAGACAGCACAGCCAAGGAACCCATGTCCACATACCTCCCTGTAGTACACCCCCACAGATGGGCCAGCTACAGGGTTCAATCCTCATTCCATCTCAACACTGGACTCCAGGTGGTCACAGTAAACTTCAATGTCCTCATCTGTACAATGGGGTCATAACATAACTTCTCTGCAGGAGGTATCAGTAAAACAGTGGGCCTCACTTCAACCAGCACCTCCCAGCAAACCTTCTGAGGCCCCTATATGTCTGCATAACAGTCTGTGCAGATGAGCTGAAGAAACCACAGCAGAGAAGCCGGCCTGATGGCTGAGGAGGGGCCAGCCAACCCTGAGTGCAGGAATCAAGTCTTCCAGCCCAGCAGTATGCAGTGGACTTCCGGACCTCCTATGATCCAATGACACAGCACAGTAGCCACAGATGCTACCAGATCCTCTGGGGTGTGGACATGCTAGGCCAGGAAACAACGAATATCTTTCTACTGCAGAGAACAGACATCCACTTACACCAAGTAATAGAAGCACAGAAAAGAACCAGAAGGGCAGGAGACCCATGATGGGACATCCCAGCTCACAGTGGGAGAGCTGGACTATAAGCACCAATGTCTTCCCCAGCACAGGCTGAGATGGGGCAAGGAAGACAATGCTGGAGCCCACGCAGCAGGGGTGCCAGGACAGGCGGACCTCCATGGCCTGTGTCGAAACTTAAGGCCGAAAAAGAAGCAAGCCTGAGGGCCTGAGTTAGGAGGGCAGCTCATGTCAGAATGGGGACTTGAGTCAGAATACAGGGCTTGACTGTTGTAGAATGGGACTGTCCTTGGGGTTAGGGAGACACTGAGTAAGATGGGTTCAATAATGTATACTGCACTGAAGCAGAGGAGGGAGAGAACCGTCTAAAAGAGAGATGGAACTGGGTATTTCTGTCATCACAGGAGACTAGAGCGAGGGCTGCATGGTGGAGGGGACCTGGGGGAGGGTTTGTAAAACAATGAAAGAATCTTTTCTTTTACTTTTCCATAATTCTTGGACTCATGTACTTATAACTTGTTAGTCAAATTTGTGTCTTCTAGGTTGCAACACCCCCATGGTACATCTTGAAGGATATGTACATGTACAGCCAAGCACAATCAATAAGAGTGCATCTGAATTCCAAAATCAATCTCCATAATAGTCTATGTTTTTCCTACTGCCAAAGGGGCCCTTTAGAGTAGTGAGAGAAGATCTTCACCCTGAAACCCACAGCGTCCCTTTCCAGCAGGAAGTAGCTAAGAGAATATGCCGTCCCCTTTTCCTTATGACTCAGGGTGAAGTCTCTCTCAGGGAGGAGTGATAGGGAATGGCAAAGGATACACTGACAAAGAAGATTAATCAGAACTGGCTTTGACAAGCACTGTGGCATTTGGACAAGAACAAACTGGGAGGAGGGTAGAGAGAATAGTGCAACAATGAATGAGTGGAAGCCCAAAATCTCTGTAAATGTTTATGAAAATTAATAAAATACAATTATAGAAAAAAAAAAGAATACAGGGCTTGAGTCATTATGAGGGGCTCAGGTCAGTCAGGGGTCTTGAGTCAGAACAGAAGAGCTCAGGTCAGAATGGGTCACTTTGGTGCCAAGGGATGTCTTGAGGAGAAGTCTGAGCCCAGATTGAGGCGGAAAAAGCTACAGCTGAGGCTGGCATGGCTTGGTAAAGATAATATGCAGGCAGCTTCATGAGAAGGGGGCCTCGCAAAGGGTGAAAAGTGAAAATTGGCAAAATAAATACACTGTAAAAGCAGGACAGCATGAAATTAGCATACTCAGCCTGGAAGAGGTAGGAGGTGATGGGGAAAATACGTTGAACCTGTCTCAGATGAAGATAGCACAGAACCCACCCTCGTCCCACACATATGCCTGCTTATATGGCCTGCCTTGGCCAGTTAGGCGGAAGGAATCACCTGGAACATGTTTAACCAGATGTCAGCCAGGAGGCTGTGGCCAGACAGAGAGACAGTCAAAGTACTGCTCTGGGGAGTGGTCACTCCCCCAGCTGAACTGTCACAGGAACGCAGGGGCACAAATGTTCCAGAGAGGTCACATGCTCCCAAGCAGGCTGTGTTTAGTAGCTTGCTTTGCCTCAGGGCCCGCTCAGACACAGCATCTCAGGTAGTATCTGCTGACTTCTGTTAAAAAAAAAGGAGCCCTTCCCATCATGAGTTTTTAATAATGGCCTCTTAAAAATAAGATGTCAATATGCTTTGAGTTTTCCCACCAACATTAAAAATAAAACCTTCCAAGCAATTGATATCGAGGAGCCTTCAGATGAGACAAAGTGGGTACTTGCCTGTGCTCCCCACTTACCCTGGAGAAATGAAACAGTATTGTTCCCTGTATACTAGGAAAATATGGCTTAGTCTTGTTAGTGACAACACTTCATGAGGGAGGACACTCTAGGCTCATTTCACAGAATCAGAATTTCAGAGACAAAAGCAAGTGGTGAAAGCTGAGAAGCAGAATGTAGACATTCTCTTCCTGACCACATTCACAGTAAGAAGAAAGTGTGGACCTTCTAATAAAGCACTTATCACTCAGGTGTTAGGGAAATGCTGGCTAGCCATCTTGGGGGAGGTCATAAGCTACACTGAAAAATGACAGAAGAGAAAGTTCATAGTAATTTTTCTTTCCACAATGATTAAGGAGGCAAAAAGTCACAAAGAGTAGCCACCTTTATGAAGTAAATAAATGAACAAAAACCAAAGATCATATGGACTAGAAAGTCATTTCCCTCTTTGGTCCTGAGGCTGGCACCTCCCTGCAGAGAGGCCCTCACTGAACTTTGAACTCTAGCCTGCATTTCAAGTCCAGCCAGAGCAGGAAGTGCTGCACCATGACCAGGAAGGAGGGCTGATGCATTCTTGGGGGATGAGGGGCAGGAAGGGGTAGTATAGGCCCACAGATTACTGCCCCTGTGATGCGTGCCTCCAATATTTTGAAGCATACCCAGGAGAAACATGACTTGGCACTCACAGTTGAGAAAGACAGAAGGAACCTTTAGCTCTAACCAGCTGCTGCAATCAGTGGCAAATCACCCATCACTCTGTGCCTCAGCTTCCCCATCTTTACAATCAGGTTAGACCAGGCAGGCTCCCAGCAGTCAGCCCTGCAGGTCCAGAGCCAGACTCAGTGGAGTTCATCTCTAGGGGAAGCAGTACTGGGATGACCTTCTGGGGAGGTAGGAGCTATAAGACAAAAGCATGCACTTCAACAAGTGCCCCAATAGCACTCTCAGGTCCCCCAAACGGAGTGATAGCCCAGGGGCCTGGACTCAACCCTGCCACTTTCTGTGGGATTTGGGGGAGGTCTCTCAACCTTTCTTGAGTCTGAGCCAGTATACTCAACTGAAAACTGGGAAAAGAACTCTTTTAGGAACCTAATCATCATTTTCACCTGAGAAATGTTTGGGTGCTTTTTGTGACATAGACAGCAATTGCAGCAATTGGCAGGTGTAACACTCAAGAGGCATGGTGGGGGCAAGTGTGCACAAGGAGGCCCTGCAGAGACAGAGTTATGGGTCTTGGTCAGGATCATACCCCCCCCCAAAGCTTGACCACTGTCCTGGCCATGTCTGGGTTTGCCTGGCCCACTATGTCAACCCCCAAGGATTTTCCACAAACCCACGGTTCTCAGAGCTGGAGAGGGTCCAGCCCTCTTCCCGCAAACACAGCCTGCCTTTGTGCGCCCTAACAGTTCTCGGCTTTGGGGTGATACCGTTACAGGCATCTCAGCAGCACTCTATTTTAGCAGGGTAGAAGCGAACTTTCTTCTTGTATGGGTAAAGAGGAGAGGGAATCACATATACTGACAATCCTGCGTGGACTTCAACACCCTTCAGCGGCTTTGTTTGGGTTAAGTCTACGGTTAAGAGCAGAACCACCAAGCCCCAAGCTTCCAGTCTCTCAGCTCACTCTACCGATTAATCCCCTTTCAGCGCAGACACGAGAAGCTCAGCCCCCTCCCCTCATTCCCACCACAAAGAGCGGCCTTTGCAGCCTAAGATGCCCGCCTTCAACGCTAGAGGACCAGCGGCCAGCATCCCGCATTCGGCACGTCCCTGAGCTAGGAAAGACCCGAGCCTGCCGGCCGTAGACCGCACGAGGAGGAGCTGGCGCCAGCGTGGGAGTCCCCTTAGGAAAGCGCGCCCAGCCTAGGGTTCCAGCTGGGTCCCGCTGAGGGGCGGGAGCGAGGGCCGCCCGGGTCGCAGCCCGCCCCGCGCCTCCCGAGCCGCACCGGCCCCGCCCGCGTCCCGCACTCACCCTGCGCGCCCGGGCCCCGGCGCGCGCCCACCGAGCCGTCGCGGCGCAGCAGGATGTCCGCCGTGTCCCGGATGCGCCCGGCGCCTGGCGCGCCCCGCAGCCCGCGGCAGCCCTGGAAGCACACGGCCCACGCCTGCTCCTCGTTGATGGGCTGCTCGTACGCCTTCAGCACCTCCTCCAGGGACAGCTCCCAGGGGTCCTGCGCCTCGGCGCCCCCCGCCCGCTCCGCGTCGCCGCTGGGGCTGCTGGCCCGGGCCATGGCCGCCCCATTATCGCCTCCTGTGCGCCCAGCCGGTTTCCATAACAGCCACGCCGGCCCGGCAGACGCAGCCCCGCGGAGGCGCGAGGGGCGGACCCCGCACCGCCAGCCGGTGCTTTGTCATCCCGGCCCCGCCCCGCGAGCGGCCGCAGGTGAGGGCGCGGCGGGGGAGCGTCTCAGGGGCAGGGGCGGAGCCAGGAGACGGCGGAGCCAGGGAGACGGTTGCAGGGCTGGGAGGGGGTAAGGAGTGTCACAGCCTGCGGTGGAGGGACCGGGGAAGGAGGAGGAGGCCGAGCTGGGCGGGCGTGGGGGCGGGGCCGAGGGGGAGGAGCCTAGAGCTGTTGGGGCGGGGCCGCCGGGGAGACTGGAGGGGGGTTCGCAGGGTTGGAGAGTTGGAGGGGAGAGTAGGAGGGGGCGTTAGAGCCCGGGGCCAAGGAGGAGGCCAGAGCCGGGCAATGAGATGAGGGACTGGAGTGGGTTGGAGAACCGAGGCACGCTTGCTCACCCTCTTAGCGTTGGCAGACCTTAGTGATCAGTGGGCACACACTGCAGAGCCCTGGGCAGCTCTGCCTCCTGGGAGATACGAGAAGGACACACATACACACCCCCTCAGTGGGCACACACACACAGTTGAGAGTGGCAGTCATTTCCCCAGCTGCCCCAGTGCTGGGCAGCTTGGCAAGGTGACCTCAGGCAGTTCCTGTGCGAATGCAGAGCAGGGGAGGTAACACCACTGCATCAAACCTTTCTCCATAATCTTCCTGTATGTGTGCCTCTAACTTGCCCAGTGTTTTCATGAAAATAAACAGACCCAGTCCACCAGCCACAACACAGCACATGTGTGTCTCCATCCCAGGCCCAGATGGACTCATTCAGAGTAGAACGCAAACCAGGGTAAGGCAAGGCCTCAGACCTGACCAGGCATCGGAATCATGCGGGGAACACAGAAAATGCTCATTTCTGGGTTCCAGGCTGGGGACTCTAACCCAGAATATGAGGTGGAACTTAAGACTTGTAATTTTTGTTGCGGATATTCCCTCGGTGCCCTGGTGGCGCTGTGGGATAAGCATTGGGCTGCTGACTGGGAAGTCAGTAACGACATTCACTGACCGTTTATCAAGAGGAAGATGAGGCAGTCTGCTGTAAAGATTCACAGCTGTGGAAATCTGTGGGGCATTTCCACTCAGATCTACAGGGCACAATGAGTTGGAGTTGACACATTGTCCATGGTAATTCTGAACAGCTAACATGGAGCCCACACAGCAGCTTCTCCTGGCTTGAAGGAAACTTGACGGTGGAGGTGCAGGCTGTTGCCTAGTGTCCTGGGTTTTCAATTTTCAAACAGGAAACAGTTTTAATAAGAGCTGTGTTCTGCCTAGAGCTGGTATGATCGGCACTCCAGCTGAGGGTTGGCACAGCTTCTCAAAGCTTGAAAAATTCAACTGTATGTCGTATCACTGAAGCACGGAATTTCCTGGAAGGAAAGATGGAGACGAGTAGAGCCAGGTAAGAGGCTCATCTCTGAAAATGTGCAAAAGACCTGGGTCTTGGGTTGATACCATCCCCTCTTCCTGATCTGTGGAGCATGGATCAGAAATTTCAGGCTTTGCCTTGGAGCACCAAGAGCAAAAACCAGACAGAGAAGAGGCTAATTTGCGTAAGAGAAGAAGCATCCGTGAGAGTGACTTCAGGAAAGTCCCTGACTCAGACAATGCCTGGTGTGTGGTCATGAGGAAGTGGAGAGATTGTCAATGACAGGCCCACACCTGGGGTGGTTTCTGCTTTTGCATTCCATAGGGACAAAGCCTTCCACTTGAAACTCTTCAGTGAGAAGGGCTCACCCCCAACCCAGAAACTGGCACTTCTGAGCCTACCTCTCCTGCAGTGTCACCTGTGTGCACAGGAAATAAGACACCTTAGTGGTGCAGTGGGGTAAGTGTTGGGTAAGGAACTCAGTAACACATAGCTGGCTGTCTCTGGTGGTCCTTGGAGGTCACTGGTACATGGGTACCATGGCCATTGTTGACTAGGTAATGAGTATTTTTGAAAGAGAACTCTGTACTTTCAGTGACATCAGCCAGAACTACAGTGGTGTAGTCCATAGACAGTTTTCACTGCTAATTCAAAAGCCAAGTGTCTTTGGCAGGTCAGATCCACCAGTTGCTCTGTGGGAGAAAGATCAGCAGTCTCTTTCCACTGTAATTTACAACCTTAGAAACCCAGTGGAGGGTCACTAGGAGTCGGGAACAACTCAACAGCAGTGGACACATGTGACAATGAATGTTAGATTCTACTTACTTAGGCTCCAAGGGCTAAAGGTTTCCTGCTTGGTTGGGACAAAGTGAGAATGCATACACACCCATCAGCACTTGAACACTTGTAGAAACCATCTCATTTCCCCCCCTTCCTAGGTAATTTTAGTCACACATTTCCCACAAATAACAAACGAGACCTAGAAGTGGACCTAGTGAGCAGTCAGCACCATGGGGCTCCACATGGTGGGGGCAGCAGTCAGGGGTTCCAATCACATGGCCAGAGTGTTTCACTCATCAATTGACCCAAGATTCTGCAATCAGATGTCTGTGCACGTTAGGATTTCAGCCTCAGAAACCTGGAGGAGGGTTGCTAAGGTGGGATAAACTGGGAAGCAGTGGATGGTAGGCTCTAGTTAGTGGGAGCTCTTGGTTTAATGTCACCAAAGTCAAGGCGAAAATAACCGTTCCCAGGATAGAATACTGTGACATGTTTACTTTTGATTGAAAAGTCCAATCAGTATTTTAAGTCAGATCAAAGGTTCTGCCAATGACTTCATGTTGGTCAATACACTTTTAGGTGGACAACACACACCCAGGGGTTTTAATGTGTGAGCAAAACAAATGGTATCTGGCTGAGGTGGAAAGGATAGAAGGAGAATTGATGCCTTTGAGCTGTGGTGCTGGAGAAGAGTATTGAGAATACCATGGACTGCTAGGAAAATAAACAGATTTGTCCTGGAAAGGGTTAAACCGGGTGGCTCCTTGGAGGCAAGGATTCTGAGGCTCCGTCTAACATACTTTGGACATGTTGTGAGGAGAGACCGGTCCTTGGAGAGGGACATCATGCTTGGGAGGGTGGAGGGACAGCGCAGGAGAGGAAAGCCCTCTATGAGGTGGATTGATTCAGTGACTGGGATAATTGGGTTGGGAGTGTCAGAGGCAGTGCGATTGGCACAGGACAGAGTGGAGTTTAGGGCTGTTGTACATAGGGTCGCTATGAGTCGCAGGCGACTCGACGGCACATAACAACAACAGCAACATCTCAATTGAAAGTGACAGTAGAGTTAAAACTTAAATGGAGAAAGGGACTGGAGAGATCAGTTATTTATCCAAGAGTAGGCAACACAGAACTTCAGAGTCAGGAAGAACCTACACTGTAACTTGAACTGGACATTTAGACTCTAGAAATAAAACAGGCCATTTCCGGCTGTTAGAAGGAACAGAGAGAAAATTGATCTTGTTGGTCAATCATTAGCTCAGCCTGGAAGCTCTGTGGTAAGGTTATCTCTATAGTTACAGGAGCCCTTAAAGCCTTCTGCTTCTAAAAAAGGTGTTCCTTATAATTCATCTCCAGGTTGTTGTTGTTATGTGCTGTTGAGTCACTTTCGACCCTATTTATGTACAATAGCCCTAAAACCTGCTCTATCTATCCTGTGCCAGCTCTATTGTCTCTGACACACCTACCCTCATTACCCCAGGCACTGAGTCAATCCATCTCATCAGTGGTCTTCCTCTCTTTCTCTGTCCCTCCACATGTCCAAGCATGATGTTCCTCTCCAAGAACAGGTCCCTCCTTGCAACATGCCCAAAGTAGGTCAGACGAAGCCTCAGCATCTTTGCCTTCAAGGAGCAGCCTGGTTTCACCCTCTTTAGGACAAATCTTGTTTGTTCTCCTGGTGGTCCATGGTATATTCAAAATTCTTCTCTAGCACCACAGCTTAAAGGCATCAATTCTGGAAATCTCAGAGAAGGGAGTGGTATCACTCTGCTTGTGGATAGTGACTTATCTGCCAATGCCTGGAACTGGAGAATCATATCAACTCATGACTTTAGAAAGACACTCCTGAAATAGTCTTTCCAGCTTTGGGGCTATTTGTTCACACATGCTTGCTGAGTGTAGGCACTGCTGCCTTAGGTGTGGGGAAGGAATGAGAACAATCCCAGCCAGGTCCCTCTCTACCTTCCTGGACTCTGGGCTCTTAGGCGCAGTGGGCATATGCAGGACTGACTGCATTTCAGTGCTGAGGTGTGGTGGTAGCCACATGGCGTGTCAATTTTCCCAGGTCCTGTAATTGGTCCTTTGAGGAAATTAGAGGGTCTAAGTCACTCCCTAGGGCTCATATGGTGGGGAGGGACTGAGAGGTTGATGGCTTGAGCTGTCTGAAGGTGAAGAAGAGGTATAGGCTTCATCCTTGAGCATCTTTATAACACAGTTGATCCAAGATCCTGATCTTAAGCTCCTGGAGGCCAATGTGGCCATGCATGGCTGGATCCCCCAGGGGCGATGGGGTTTTCTGGACACTAATCCTTCTAGAGGAGGTCAACAGGTACTGTGTTGTAAACTTTATTCTCAGGACAAAAGTAAGAGGTTGCTGGACACCAGGCCAGTTAGGTTTAAGATCTAAGGTCTCCCACTGTCTCCTTACTGAACTGTGTCCTTGCGTTGATGGAGTGCAGGGGTTCCTGGCCACTGTTTTCCCATCCACTCCATTCTGAAAAGCAGGTCAGGTTCCCCCGAGGGGCTTGATGCAGTAAACCACTCGCCTCCTGTTACACGATTCAGGCTCCTGAATGTACTCTTTGTCACACAGAGGCACCAGCTAAGCATTCTGGACAACAGGCACAGCCAAGCTCAGGTACAGGCGGAAAAGCAGAAATTCTAGAGGTTGTGGTTTTGTGCTCTAAGTTTATTTTGGGATCGTGATAAAAATGTGGATCTTGAGGTGAGCCAGTGCAGGCCAGGCT